GACTCAGTGTGTTTTCTGATAGCCTTCTTTAATCACTGAGAAAGGTCACGGGAGATTCATTTGTTCCCTGGTTAAAAGCCAGCCTGTGGGAGTAAAAAAGATTTTCGATCTTGGCTTTCCTGAAGCCCTCAGAAATGAGATAAAATGCTTTCTCTCCCAGTGACCTCTGGGGTCCCTGACATCCCTAGATGGATCTCTGGAAGGGACAACCTGGGCCCCTGTGAGTCTTGCTCTGGGCAAGTAGTCAGTGCCACCCTCTGCTTTTTTCCACTGAAGCTGAGGTCTGTAAGACCAGCATCCATCCCTCCGGGCTGTGTAGTAAAAGACTTTGAAGGTATGGGTAGGCCTGTTCATATTGGTCAGGATCTGCATCAAAATTACCTTCAATCTTGCTTTTTGTTTTGTTTGAAACAGGTCTCACTATGTAGCTCTGTCTGGCCCCAAACCCACTATATAGAGCAGGCTGGCCTGGAACTCACAGAGATCCATCTGACACTGCCTCCCAAGTGCTGGACTTAAAGGCACGCATAGCCATACCTGTCTCTCCCCAACTGGTTTGATATCTTTAAGCTTTGCTAATGAACAGGCTCTGTGAACCGACCTACCTGGGTCCTAAATCTCTGCAAGGGAAACATCTCTAGAGCCCCTGGGGTTATTTGGGGAGCTTGAGGTGCAACTCCCCGAGGCCCTCCAGCATATGGTGGACAGGGTTTGGGGGACAGACAATTGAGAGCCAATTCTGAGTGGTCGCAAAGGTAGAAGAGCTGAACATAAGGGACCTTAGACCATTCTGTCTCCTGCACAACTAGTCCAGCTGAAAACAGTATTATGAGCCAGGCATAATGGCACACACCTTTCAGCACTCAGTAGACAGAGGCAGGTGGATCTCTGCAAGTTCGAGGTCAGTCTGGTCTACAGAGTGAGTTCCAGGACAGGCAGGGAGACATAGTGAGGCCCTATCTCTAAAAAAACTAGAAAGGAAGGAAGGGGGAGAGAGGGAGAGAGAGAGGGAGAGAGAGAGAGAGAGAAAGGAAGAGAGACATTTTAATTAGGGTTTACTGAGGTGGCCATCTCTTTTTATCACTCAGGGGATAGTACTTCCTGATAAAGAAAATCAGGGTTTATTCGTTTGTTTGTCTGAGGTCCAAGTCTTCCCAGTGTTCTCGGGTATCCCTTCTCCTCTCTTCATCCACCTGGATGAGTAGGTGGTGCCTATTGGCAGGCAGATCCCAAACCTGCATGGCTCCATGCCCTGCCATCTCCTGGTTTCCTCCTTTAGTGTTCCACAATGTTTGATGCCACCAAGTCCTCAAAAACGCTTGATTTTGCCCCAAGAGCCGCTTTCTAGGTAATCTGCGCACGCTCCAAGAGGCACGGGAAGCTCTGGGTATCGAGTTGACTGAGCAGGTGTCTCTGCTGAAGCCTTGTCTGATTCTATAAGCCCACGGTCACCCACTCAAGTCCAAACAGCTTGAGACAGAAGCAGAGCGGGTCAGGTCTAGCCCATTAGCCGGAGGGCATAGGGACCAATATTTATCTGCCTTTTTCTGGGACCCATCCACCAATTGGAAATTCAAATCATTAGCAGAGACCCCAGAAAAACCATTAGAACGACACACTTTCTCATCCCAAGAGGGAAGAACCAGGCAGGGCGCAATCAGAAATGGCTCAGTCACATAAACGACCCTCATAGAATCTTTGCTTTCCCCAGAACTTCACAAGCCAGGCAGCTAGCCCACTATGAGCCATAACCAACAGGCAGGGTGGGTCCCCCTCACAGACTTGCTTCTGATGTCCATCACATCTCCTTCTGGTCCCCAGATAAACAACAGGCTGGAAGCCTTTTGGGGAGACAATGCCTGACATACCCGTGATCTATCCTCGAGTCTTGTGGCATTCAGATGAAACAGGCTCATGGGACATTAAGATTTCAGGTTCAGCCAGTAAGGTTTCAGACACTGGCTGGGTACTGGGTGGACCTGCATTCAATCCCACCTACCCATTGTTCAACAGCAACACGAAAAGCAAATCAAAACACTGGGTTATTTGTGGCTATCTTCCTTAGCACAACTCCCTCACAACCACAAGGTTCTGCAACAAGTAACCCCTGCCATCTGTCACCCCCATCCTTTAAGATTTATGTATACGCATGCCCTATACATGCATGCCTGCCTGCCAAAAGAAGCCATCGGATCCCACTATAGATGGCTGAGAGATGCCATGTAGTTGCTGGGAATTGAACCTGGGTCCTCTGGAAGAGCAGTCAACGCTCTTAACCACTGAGCCACCTCTCTAGCCTGCCACACCCATCTCTTAACCATAGCAAGCAAAACCTAGAAGGAGAACCATGTCAGGAACTCAGAATGCGGCGGTTTAACTCAAACCTAACCCCCGCTGGTTCTCCTGACCCTGCAGGAGTAGGTGGTTTTTAACACTATGCGCCCCTTTTCTGAGGTAGTCCCTGAAAGCACTAAGCACTACCTTCCTTCATTGGCAACACTTGGCAGACGATGAGGATGCCCTTAGGAAACAGGGGCCTGTAAACAGCCTACCCATCAAGCCCCGCCCAGCGAGAAACCATCCCTCAATGACTTGAAGCTGTGGAGACTTTGTACTTGGTTCACGCACCTTGTGTTGGGGCTAGTCTTCTTGAACTAGGTACCTGTTATCTACAGAAGGAAATGAAATCAAAAGTGGGGTGCCCAGTATGCAATGGGAGCAGAAACAGAAGCAGGTGGCTAGCCAGGAAAGAAGAGAGGAAAGCAGACTGACGATGGAAAGAACCGGCGGTAAGACCCAGCGGACCGCTCAGCTCCAGCCTCCTGCCCAAGCAGCCCGAGCCTCTTTGCCTCTAGCTGATACCAGCGGCAGATTGGGTCTGTGCTGCTGCAAGTTTCCAGTAATTAAGATGGAACCAGTGCCTCCTGCATACACCAGTAAACCTTCTACAGCCGATTCCTACACCTCGTCCCACACCAAAGTCGGTACCCAGTTTCTCCTGTCTTAGTTACTGTTCTGTGGCTGTGAAGAGACACCGTGACCAAGGCAGCATATAGAAGAAAGCATTTGATTGGAGGCTTGCTTACAGTTTCCGAGAGTTAGTTCACCCAGGACCATCAAGGAAGGGAGTTGGCTTCACGCAGGGACCGCACTGGAGCAATAGCCGAGAGCTTTACATTTTGATACAAAGGCAGGAGGCAGAGAGACTGGGCCCTGGTGTGAGCTGTTGAAATCAAAGCCTCTGACACACCTCCTTCAGTAAGGCCATGCCTCTTCCTTCAACAAGGCCACACCTCCAAATCCTTTTTTTTTTTTTTAAAGATTTATTTATTAAGTATACAGTGGTCTGCCTGCATATGTCCCTGCAGGCCAGAAGAGGGCAGCATATTTCATTACAGATGGTTGTGAGCTACCATGTGGTTGCTGGGAATTGAACTCAGGACCTTTGGAAGTGAAGCCAGTTCTCTTAACCTCTGAGCCATCTCTCCAGCCCCTCCAAATCCTTCTTAAATAGTCTACCAACTGGGAACAAAACATTCAAAGACAGGAGCCTATGAAGGCCATTTTTAGTCAAACCAATGCACTCCCCGCTTGGCTTGAGGACCTTCAGAGGCCAACGGACTTACTAGACAGCCCGGGCTGGGGAAGGGGCTGTGTGTGGAGGAGACATCTGCCCCACCACAGAAACAGTAGCCATGTGGGTTCTGAGCAAAAACCCAAAGCCCCTCAGGGGTGCCAGGATACAACCAAGCTTTTCTACCTGGAGACAAAACTCCCCGTACCCCAAAAACCACCAGGAGCCATGTCCATTTGAATTTTAAGGCTACCCCAGCTTGAACTTGAAGTTTGGTAAACTTTAGGGTTTGCCTACATGCTAAGACCCTTCAACTTTCATTCCCCGAGGAAACAATCCCCAGGTGCCTACCCTTAGCTATTCACAGCTCGTGCGCCAAGGCCAGGTGTGGGCAGAGGAGTGGCTTTTCCCCGTGTACTGAATGGGGTGGGGTAAGGGCCTCACTGGGAAGGGTCCTTGGAGTACAGGGTAGTCCTCACTTCCAGGTTCTCCTTGGTTTTCAGTCAGATAACACTGGCCTTGGAAGAGCCCAAGAAATGTAATGGGTGCTGGTAGTTGTCTGGGGGCTGAGCTCTTTCCTTCGTACAGAGATTTGAACATTAAAGCGTTGCCCCTCCAGAAAGATTGAAAACCAAGCCCCAAGGAAAGTAAACATTACTGCTTTAGGAGCGAAGGGTTGCTAAACCAGAAACTGGCCTGGCTATTTCACAGGCCCTGGGCCCTCCCCTTCCCTCTCTTGGTCCCCTGTTTAGACACCCACCCCATGCCTCCATGCCCTTTTCCCCCCTGGTCAGTGTCTTCCAGGAACAAGCCGCTGCCATCTCCGAGAACCTGCCTTTGATTTCCCCGCCCACCCGAGTTTCTCTTGAGTCTAACCCATTTTCACACGCCATCCCCTTCCCACCCCCCACACACCCCAAGCAGCCTTACCTCCCTCTCTGCAACCTCCAGTGGCCAGGCAAACCCTTACCTCCCTCTTCTGCAACCTCCAGCGGTCAGGCAAACCCTCTGCTCTGGCACGTGAACATCCGGGCAGTCCAAAGAGGCAGAGTGGCTGCTACGTCACTTCCCCAGACTTAAGGATCCAATCTGTGAGACCTTAGCTCCTACCTGGGCCTTTTACCCATCTTAGCTCAGGAGATGGCTGCTTTTAGCCCAAGGCTGCAGTTTGGGATTCATCCCCAGCCCTTCTCTGAATTCCCCAACAGTGGCCTCTAAGCCCTCTGTGATGTCCCGGTCATGACTACAGGTCTAAGTGACACCACAGCCCTTTATTGGGGGTACTAGCAGAGCCAGCAGCTGGCATAGTGATCTCTGGGAGAGCTCGGTTAAACTTTGAGCAGACGTTTACAGCTTAGTTGGTTTTCAGGGGGCCCTGGGTAAGCTGTGAATGAGTCCCCACCAAGCAGGGAGATGTTACAGTCCTGGAGAGGCCTGAACCAGGTCTGATGCCTTCCCAGACTTGCGACAGTCAGTGTCCTCTGCCTGCCAGCTCCTTGCTGCCGAAGTGAGGGTGGGAACTGTGTTCCTGACTTGTAGGTGGCTTTTGTGTCTTAACAGCTGGCACGGTGTGAGGAATCGTGGTTACTATTTATTGAGTGCTAATCTGAGTATGGCCTGCTGGTTTGTAGGCATCACTTCCAGAGAGCCTCGTGGCAATCCTGCCATCAGGCAGAGGGACAGAGTGACTTACCCAAGCATCTCAGCTGAGGTTCCTTTGGACTATGTAACCATCATCTACTCTGGGCTTGTGTTTGAGTTGCTAAATCTAAGGCAGAGAAGCCCCGGACCCACTCACAGCCAAAGGAAGAACTTCCTTCTGTGTGTCCTGTCTTTGGCAAGGGGTCTGTATCAAGGTTGTTGAAAATATTGGAGTCAGCACAAAACACCCCAGACCCAAAATCTCAGCCCAAAGAAAATTTATTAGCCCAAGAGGCCAAAGGGCAGGGAATAAGAGACAAAGACAGGAGGAGATAGAGGATGAGGGAGAAGGGGAAGAGGACAAGGGAGATGGGGCAGGGGTACTTCAGAGGGGCAGAGGACTGCCTCTGGATAGAGAGAGGAGACAGACATGGCCCACAGGTAAATGGTAATTTATAAAGGTAAAAGGGGAAGCCCCATGTTAGGATGAAATATTTAATTTTGGAGGGCATATTAAGATAACCAAAAGGGGGCTTGTGATTGCTGGACTTCAATACTTTGATAGCTGGACCTTGGTAGTCAGCCTCAGGAGGAGGAAGTGGCCAAATAAAGGAACAGACCTTGATGGCTAGCTTTAGGAACGGAATCTAATGGTTTTTAACAAGGAGGGGGGCAGATAGTGGAAGGGCCAGGCCTGCCAGAGCCATGACTGCCGTATGGGGTCTGCTCAGGTCCCTTCAGCTGTGCCCTGCTTTGTTTGGCATACCTAGCATTTCTAAGCATTTTCATGGACCACGTTCAGAAGCCTGGAGCTTCCATAAATTAATTTGGATTTCAGCCTTTATTTCAAACATCTGGTAACAGCGGTCCAGAGTGAAGCAGCTGAGTTTCTTTGTGGGGCATTGTCCTCTTCAGGCTGCCACAGTCCCCACCTTTTCCTGTGACCCTAACACTGAATCCCCCTCCCCCTTTTTTTCTTTTTTCAAGATAGGGTTTCTCTGTGTCGCCCTGGTTGACCTAGAAAACTCACTCTGTAGACCAGTCTGGCCTCAAACTCATAGAGATCTGCCTGCCTCTGCCTCCTGAGTGCTGGGATGAAAGGCGTGTGCCACCACTGCCCAGCAAGGATGCCCCCTTTTTTCTTTTTTAACATTGTGTGTGTGTGTGTGTGTGTGCGCGCGCGCGGGCGCACACGTATGCATGTGTTCACATATACACTATATACACTTGGGGAGGTCAGAGGACAACTTGTAGGAGTTGCTTCTTTCCTTCCACATGGGCTCAAAGAATTGAACTCAGGTACCAGGCTTAGCAGCGAGTGCCTTTAGTATCTCACTGAGCCATCTTGTCATCCCTTCAACCGCCTCTTCTCATGGCAACCGCAGCTATCTTTAATAGGATCCAGTTTTTTCCCATCCTTCTTTATATTCCAGGGAGACACTTTGCTTTGCAGCTCCTGGATTGGTCAAGTGTTAGCTCCCAGTCTTCCTGGCTCCTTCCTCCATCCCTGGAATGCTTAAGGTGGGTGTGTGAGCTCTTTGTATTAGCATTGCCCTTGGAGCTCCAGACACCATCTTGTTTTTCTATTAGTGTGTTGAAGAATGGGGTGTTGGACAAGCTATGACATTGGGGCTTCTCAAAGGGGCTAAGCCTGGCCCTGCAGACAGGCTCAAGACTTCAGAGTCCAGCAGTTTCCCCATCTTGGGGACTCCCAATCTGCCCATTGGTAGCCTCGGAGTGGGTCACGTCAGCAGCCATGAACAAGGTCTCTTTCGTGTGACACCTGTTGACTCTCCTCGAGAGCGATGGCGTGCGAGTCAGCTCCAGTCGGTCTTCCTCCGTCGGTGTCACCCAGGGGCAGCACCGGAAAGCCAGTCTGAATCCAGAGCGAAACCTGAGGGGTGTGGAGAGTCACTTTAAGCAAGGGAGGCAGGGGCGCAGGAGCCGTCTGCCACATGGCTGCTCCACGCCCCCCAGCAGTCTAGCTCCCTGGCAGAGGTGCCTCACTCTGAAGAGACCACCAACAAGTCAGGGCTGTTGAGAGACACACACTTGAATGAATTTAGTCTCTTGGAAAAGCCAGAAACACGGGGGACATGCACATCCAAGGCAGGAGCAGGGAGGATGGCAGCAAGCTCCAAGGTAGGAAGTGGTACCCTGCTTTGAAAGGAAGGAAGGGATGGAGGCAGAGAGAGGGAGGAAGGAAAGGAGAAGGGAGAAGAGAGAGAAACCAAAGTATATTACAAAGAAACCATGTGATCTAACTGACTTCTAACAGAGAATCAAAGAGGAGTTTTAGAAATAAAGAGAAGAAAGGAAAAAAAAATAATTGAGCTCTGGCTATGTGTGTGGAATAGAGACACCACCCACCCGCCTCCAGAGGCAGCCTTTAAGAAAAACTGATACATTTGCTCAGAGAAATAAACAGCTCTCCCTCAAGCCTGGGTGTGGGCCTGTAATCCCGGCTACTCCAGAGAATAAGAAAGGAGGAGGGGAGCTCAAGGAAGCTCTGAGGCTAGCCCAGGTAGCTTGGCCTGTCTCAAAATAAGTAGAATGAGGCCTTGGATGTTGGAGAAAAAAAAAAGTTGGGAAAAAACCAAACCAAACCAAAAGACACCCTTTCCCATGGTGACACTGACGCCTATGTAGTTGAGAATGACTTTGAACTTTTGATCCTTCTGACTCTATCTCCAAAGTGCTCAGGTTGCAGGTGCACCCCACTAGGCTCAGTTTATGGAGTGCTGGAGATCAAACCCAGAGCCTCATGCCGGCCAGGCGAGCACCTCATCAACTATACCACATCTCCTGCTTTGGGCTGATTTTTTTTTCTTCATGCATGTGGGTGTTTTACCTGCATGTATGTCTGAGTGACATGTGCATGCAATGCCCAATGTAGCCAGAAGGAGGTGAATAGACAGCTGATAAAAGTTATGAACAAAGAGGCCCCGGGGTCGGTGCTGCTCACGCCCATCCAGCAGACTGAGCTGACGCAGTGTCTACCTCTCATGCCCTCTTGCCTGCCCCCTCCCAGGATAGAAGGCTCACTCTGTGCACAGGGCTCCTGGGGCTTGGATTCTGTCTGGCTTACCACCTCTTCCGTTTCCAAGAGACCCAGACCAGGTGCCAGTGTATTCCAGACTCTAGGACCTTAGGAGCACCAGGGGCAGGGGTAAGATAAGATCCCAGCCCTTCCTTCCCTGGTCACATCCTGGGGGATGGGTGGCAAGAAATATGCACTGTGATTCCCCAGCCCAGCCCCCATTCTCTTTAGACAAGGTGCCCACCTAGACCAGGTGCATCCTTAGGATGAAGCTCTTAGAAATGCCAGCTCTTTGAGCTGGCGAGATGGTACAGTGGGGAGAGGCACCTGCTGCCAAGCCTAGCAAGCCGAGTTCTATCGCAGAAACCCACATGGTAGAAAGAGAGGTAGCTACTGCAAATTGTCCTCTGACCCCCCTACCACACCCTACACACACTCATTTGCACGCAGGCACACACACACACACACAACAACAAAGAAAAAACACTAGCTCCGAGGCAGTGCTACCTCTTTGTCCCGGCTCTTCCTTCCTCTCATTCTGTCCTTCTGCTCTCTCCCTGCTCCCTCCTTCCCTCCATCTCTCTGATCCTGACTTCTGTCCCCTCTCTTGTCCCTGCTGCAGACCCCAGAAGAGACAAAAGGACAGAAAAGAACACAGGCACCATAGCCCAGCAAAGGACAAGGCTTTGAGAAGGAGATGGGACTCAGGCTAGATCCAGGCCACCGGGAGCATTGTGCTGTGGGCTGACCTGAAGGGGGCGGCATTCCTATGTGGGAATAAAAGGGGCAGAGCCAGGGTGGCACTCACCTGTGGTTGAGGCAGCAGTAAATGATGGGATTGTACATGGTGGAGCTCATGGCTAGCCAGAAGAGGGCCAGGTAGACATGCTGGATGAACTTGTGGTAGTAGATGTCCTCTTGGAAGCTGCCCAGGATGAAGTAGAGGTGGTAGGGCAGCCAGCAGATGGCAAATGTCAGCACCACCAGTACCATGGCCTTCACAAACTGGTCAGGGAGAGGCTCGGGTCAGTCCTTGGCCCCTTAGTCCCAAGTCACCCCTCCTGGGAGCAGCACAGGGTACCCCTCATCCTGGCCTTGACAACCTTCTGTAGTCAGAGACCGTCTACCTCTCTGCCCTCCATCCGCTGGAACGTGAATTTGCCGCATGCTCCAGAGCCCACCACCTCATGGCTTTCCCACAGGCTAGTTTGTCGGCGCTCACTGCTGTCCTTCCATTGAAATCCTCAAGTCTAGCAGCCCCGTTCTGTGGTCCACTCTCCCAGGATTCTTTCCCCCGGGTCACCTCTTCATCCTGTGCCTCTCTTAGGAGGTCAAAGCTCTGGGACCCCAGCTGCCCTTCCCTGGGATCCTGTCTACTTTAGCCCTTCTATGTAGGCAGTGATGTTCCAACCTGACCCATCCTCTCCCTAGAGGCCAGGTTCCTGAGCCCTTCCCGGCACCTCACTCGCCTGGCATTTGCAGGCACACTCCTCATTGTCCAGCAATCCTGAGGACCAGAAGGCAAGTTGGAGATCGCAACTGGAGACCAACTTCTCAGTGGAAGGGACACTAAGTGTCCTAAGTACCCTAAGTATCCCCCTGCTTGCTATGGTGAAACTTTTAGAACACAAAGAAGTCGGTCCAGCTTTGTGTCCAGACGGCAGAGGTCTGTAGCGCTGAGTGACCTGGATTGTGTGCTCCCCGCTGCCCCCTAGCGGGCAGGCTTGGGGCCCAGGTGACTCCAGGAGGTCCCGCCCTCTCTGATCCCCCTTCTCACCTTCTTCTTGGCCTGCAGGTGGCGCAGGTTGGCGCCGTGAGCCTGGTGTCTGGGGACCGCACGTTTCCACAGCGTGAGGCCAATGACACTGTAAGCCACGAACATCACCACGAGGGGTAGGAAGTAGATGAGGACAAACACCACCAGATGATACCTGAACGGAGAGAGAGCCATGGACCTGGGTGGGCAGCAGGCGGCCAGATCCACCCAGGCTCGCCCACGCTTAAGGTCCGTGAACCCCACGGACCCCCACCCTTGAAGCCCCACCCTCGGTTTTGTCTGATTTAAAGAAAAATTAAGCAACATTGGCTAGTATATGTGCCAAAGAGGGGCTTTTCTCACAAAATGTCACCGGCATCAGCCCCAGTTCTGTGTTACTGAAAAGGCTAAAAGGGTGGGGAAAAAAGGAGAAGCTAATGAAATTTTATGTTTGTAGGGAAAAGTCCCACCCCTTAGGGGGCGTGTTCGCCTCAGGCTAAAGTTCTCCTATAAAATTGGTGAGCGTGCTCCCAGCGCTCTCTTCTGCTTTCCTGGTCTCCGCGGGAACAGTGGTTCTGTAAGTCTATTCCTCCATTAAAGCTGTCTATATTTTGACAATCTGTCTGCATTCGCTTACGCCGTTACATTTTGGCGTCCAACGTCGGGCTATTTTGCCCCCGACTCAAGCGCGTAGCCTGCTAGCTAACACAGCACGCTCCCGGGTGTCATTTTCTTAGTTTATGACTCGGGCCCCAGGGCTGAGTCCGAGATACACTCTGCCTTCAGGCCCATAATATCCAGAGAGGCAGGCAGATCTCTGTGAGTTCAAGGCCGGCCAGGCGGTGGTGGCAGACGCCTTTAATCCCAGCACTCCGGAGGCAGAGGCAAGCGGATCTCTGTGAGTTCAAGGCCGGCCAGGCTGTGGTGGCACACGCCTTTAATCCCAGCACTCGGGAGGCAGAGACAAGCGGATCTCTGTGAGTTCGAGGCCAACCTGGTCTACAAGAGCTAGTTCCAAGACAGGCTCCAAAACCACAGAGACCACCACCGGCAGGAACCAGTCGTTGCAGGTAAGAGAAAAAATTTTCTTTTATAATTAAAATGTCTGAACACGTTACCATTCAAGAATTTAACAGTTTTTTTAATTGTACCATGTGGGAGATTTTACAAGAGGTGTCTATCACCCCACCTCTATGGATCTTTCTGGGATTCGTAGTTTTCCTTGGCACTATATGGTTTGATAATAGAAATATGATAAAGTCTTTACGAGCAGAGGTTGCACGCTTAAAAACAATTGAGAATGACAACAATCTTCTCAAGAATCAGTTTGAAGTTCTCCAGGAGGAGAACAGATCTTTGTTTAACATGACTCGATCAACTGAGGAAAATTTAAAAAAGGTACAGACTGATATTAAGGAGAAATTCATTACTATGGAAGAGGGAACAGCTGATTTGGATCGTAAGCTCCAGTCCCTTTCTGTAGGAACTGAAACATTACAGGCTGATATTAAGGAGAAATTCATTACTATGGAAGAGGGAACAGCTGATTTGGATCGTAAGCTCCAGTCCCTTTCTGTAGGAACTGAAACATTAGTGGCTGATATTAAGGAGAAACTCATTACTATGGAAGAGGGAACAGCTGATTTGGGTTGTAAGCTTCAGTCCCTTTCTGTAGGAACTGAAATAGTAACTGAGAGAATCAAAACTGCTGAATGTGACTATCGGATTTTGTCTAAAGCTTATGACAGATTGGCAGAAAGATTGTCAATACAAGAAGGCACGGTTTATGCCATAAAAATTATGTCCAAAGATGAGAACTTATCTCTAATGGACAAACTTCATACTTTAGAATCCTCAATGAAGGCTTTGGAACATAATTCTGGACAGGAGATACAGACATTGCAGAAGGCAATGGTGAATAGAATTGAAAAGATTGAGGAATTTCTAAATTCTGATGAAGAAGAACAAACGGTAGAAAGGCAAATTTTAACTACATCTGTGGGTAAATCCCTCCGGGACAATTTCCACAAATCTCTACCTACAGCTCTACCTGCCTTTCCAGTAATAACAACAGAGAAGGTGATTGGTTCCAGAAACCCTAGGGTCATTAAGGAAGATACATGGGAGCATGTCCGTATGAATGATCTCAAAGAAATTAAACAGGCTGTCATGACTTTCGGGATGCATTCCTCTTTTGTTAAAGAGATGCTAAAGTCTTGGGCATCCACAAGCAGAGCTACGCCATTGGACTGGCTCCAGCTGAGCTCTGCAGTCCTTGAGAGTGGGCCGCACTTAAAATGGAAATGCTTGTTCAGGCAAGAGGCTAGACTTTTAGAACAGCAAGAAAAGGCGAAGGGAAGTGACATCTCCCTAGATAAAATTCTAGGTGAAGGACGCTTTTCTGACCCTCAGGAACAAGCTAATTTGGACGAAAACACACTCTCCATATGCACTACAGCAGCCTTAAGGGCTTGGGACAGGGTACAAGACCCAGGACAGAGAATGGAATCATTTGTCACAATTAAACAAGGTCTGAGAGAACCTTTTAGTGATTTTTTACAAAGACTTACTAAGGCTGTGCAAATAGGGATACCTGACCCTGACGCAAGACGTATAATGATTGAGTCTTTGGCTTATGAAAATGCAAATGTGGAATGCAAAAAGATTTTGGGGCCTTTAAGGTTCAGATCAGCACCCTTGGAAGAATGGGTCTTGCATACACTGGATGTTGATACATTTGATTATGGCACTGAAGCATGGGTAGAAGAAGCAATTTCCAATGGTAAAAGGAGACACCAGAATACCAAATGTTTTAATTGTGGCAAAATGGGTCATATGAAAAGGAATTGTAAACAACGGATCTTCAGAAATAATAATAATGCATCTTCTAGAAATAACAGAAATAGGAGGACTCAGCCTTCAGGTTTATGTAGAAGATGTGGAAAAGGTAGACATTGGACGAATGAATGCAGGTCTACAAGAGATAGACAAGGCAACCTGATACAGACGGGAAACGTGAGAGGGGGGGCCTCACAGGCCCCCATGGCAAACATGGTTCAGTCATTTCCAGTTTCTGCAGAGAACGTGCCTCGTCAGGACAATTAGGAAACCTCATGCCTACTGTTACAAACGATAATGAGCAGAAAGATGAGTTACGTGTGTTTTGGCAAACTTCTATAAATGATCAAAGACCTAAGCTGAGAGTGTGTGTAAATGGCATTTTTATTACTGGCCTGCTGGACACAGGTGCTGATGTAAGTATCATTACCCCAGAATCTTGGCATCCGTATTGGCCTCTTCAGAATGTAAATGTTCAGCTCCTGGGAATTGGAACCCTATCTCGAGTAAGACAGAGCACAAGATGGGTTGAATGTATAGGGCCTGAGGGACAAATAGGAAAATTAAGGCCATATGTAGCCAATATTGCAATGAATTTATGGGGTCGTGACCTATTACAACAATGGAATACCCAAATTAACATTCCTGCTACTTCTAGAGCCTATATTTCTGAGAATAATATTAAAAGATATTACAAACGGAGAAAACCGGCCATTCGGGCCATACAAGAACAAGTAATTGAAGCCCCTTCAGAGATACCAACAGCCTTGCCTCTAAAATGGTTGACTGAGAAACCAATATGGACAAAGCAATGGCCTCTAGCTGAGGAAAAGTTACAGGCTTTAGAACAGCTGGTACAAGAGCAATTAGATGCTGGACATATAGAAGAATCTACCAGCCCTTGGAATTCTCCTGTATTTGTGGTTAAGAAAAAATCAGGTAAATGGAGAATGGTGACAGATCTCAGAGCTATCAACAAGGTTATTCAACCTATGGGTCCTCTGCAATCTGGAATCCCTTTGCCCTCTTTATTACCAAAAGGATGGCCTCTTATAGTTATTGATTTAAAGGATTGTTTTTTCACCATACCTTTACAAAAAGAAGATAGAGAAAAATTTGCCTTCACGGTGCCTACTTACAACAATTCTCAACCTTCCAAGAGGTACCACTGGGCCGTCCTCCCCCAGGGTATGTTAAATAGCCCCTCCTTGTGCCAATATTTTGTGAACCAACCATTGCAAATAATACGCAAGAAATTTCCCAAATCTATAATATACCACTACATGGACGACATCTTGTTATCCGATTCAAACATGGATACCTTGAACAGACTGTTTGAAGAAATAAAGATACTTTTACCTAAATGGGGATTGCAAATTGCTCCTGAGAAGATACAGAAGGGAGATTCTGTTAATTATTTAGGTTATAAAATAGGTTTGCAAAAAATTAAGACACAAAAGGCACAAATTAGGAGAGATCGCCTACAGACTCTTAATGACTTTCAAAGACTGTTAGGAGACATTTCCAGTCTACGACCAGCTGTTGGGATAACACCTGATCTAATAATTCATTTGAACAAAACCTTGGAAGGTGATAAAGACTTAAACAGTCCCAGAGAATTAACAGCTGAAGCAGAAAAGGAACTGACAATAATTGAGGAAAAATTACAACAGGCACATGTGGACAGGGTGAATCCAGAGCTCGATTGTATTCTCGTCATATTACCATCCAAAATTTCTCCTACAGGAATTTTAATGCAGAGAGATGATATTATCTTGGAATGGATCTTTTTACCACATAAACCAAGTAAAAAACTGAAAACTTATGTGGAAAAAGTCTCTGAGTTAATTATAAAAGGCAAGCTGAGACTTCGTCAACTAGCAGGCATAGACCCAGCAGAAATTATAGTGCCTTTCACTGCTGATGAACTAAAGAAATTATGGGAAGATAATGAAACATGGCAAAGAGCTTGTGCTAATTTTTTGGGAGACATTAATAACAACTATCCAAAAAGCAAGAGGCTTAACTTCATAAAGAGAACTTCTTGGATCCTTCCTCGAATCGTCCGTGATGCTCCAATAACTGGAGCCCGTACATTCTATACTGATGCCAATAAAACAGGGAAGGCAGGTTACAAATCGGAAGACTTGGGTAAGGTGGAACAAAGTCCTTATGATTCTGTCCAGAAGGCAGAATTATATGCCATTCTTATGGTGCTAAGGGATTTTAGAGAACCTATTAATATAGTTACTGATTCACAATACGCAGAAAGAGTTATTTTACATATTGAAACTGCTGAATTTATACCTGATGATACAGAACTAACCTCATTGTTTA